TCCTACTCTACTCAAGAAGTCCATAATAGTGACCACATCTATACTAGTCTCCCCTAACTCCCAAGATAAAATAATGAATTATTTTGTGAAGATTATTCTGGGCCTTCCACAAAATAAAATTTTTCTTACTACTATTTCTTACTAAGTCTTGATTAACATAATAGTCTGTAATTCAACAGAGGAGGAATGCACCAGTTTTTAGAAGCAGCAGTACCAGCAACAGCCAATTCCTTAGTCATTGGGCAAAAAATAATTGTAGCAAGCAAGGAAGTGCACATTACAGGAATCTGGTTAATAATATGAGTCTATATGAAATGCAGTAGCAACAAGACGTAGTCTCAAATGCTGTCTCCCTGGTATGTTACCTCTTTATATAAAGCAATTTGGCAGCTGCCTCAAAGGTACTGTAGGTTTAAAAATAAAAAGAAAAAAAAGACAAAAATATCATATTCCAACATGTCTTATCCCCTGAAATATTTTTCAAAAAATTGTTAAATTCTGGACTGAAGTCATCTGATAGATCATAAAACTAGGATGAAGAAACTCCAAATATAATCACACACACATTCATTGTGGATTATGGGCCAAAAGGGAACCCTGACATCATTTCATGTGCCCTTCTACCATGATGATCCATCATTCAGTCTAGTACAAAGTACTTAACGACCATCACTTTGCCTTCCAAGTATAAATAGAGGGTAAGTGATGCTACTTCATATTTAGAACACACTTTGACAACATGATAAAATACAGCACACCCCAAGTACCTTTCCTACCTTGAAAACAAAAGTACAGTTTTTAATTTCTGGTATCACATCCATGCATTGACCCACTGCAAGGGCAGGGGAGCAGATTTACACCAGAGGCCTTCTAAATTGCCTCACACCAGCAGCTTGTCAAAAAACAGAAATCCTCAGAAGAACAAATCACCAGCAACACATGCAGCGCCATCATTACCTAAGCAGAAACTCTCTAAGAGGCTACAAAGAAATTAAATTGTGCTGTCTTCCCAGTGCTTTCCTGACACCCAGCAATGACTGAGCAGCTTTATTTTCATCTTTGAGGCAAGCTACACATGTTAGCCTGTACACAGAACAGCCAGGTGGGCCAGGCTGACATGGAAATATTTCTGTCCATTACATGCAGTTTAGCACTAGCATCCTAAAGACAATACTGATCTGGGCAGAGTCAATTAAAACAAAAATAACATCAGACTGTCATTAATTCAAGAAAATACAACACTGTGTATGTGGTTCTGAGCTACTCTCTGCTTCAGTCCTCATTATAAATTTTCTACTCCTGAACACAACACTGGTTTTATACCAGCTGTTTATTAACAGGACTATCGTTTTCCTAAAGCAGCAGCAGAGATTTGGACACACAAAATTATTTCCTTCAAAACACCATATTGCATTTGAATGCAAGTCTGCTTTTAATATAAAATAAAAAAGAAACAAATCACTTTCTTCCCTAGAATCACAACCAGTCTGATGCTGCCTGGCATTGCCACATTTACATGCCTGAAGTGTGTCTGCCTGGCTGCAGCCCGGTACAACTCCTCACACCCACCTCCCAGCTCCTCTCACCCTCCTCCTGGCATCACTCCCAGGCAGGGAAAAGGCTAAAATGAGGGTACATCCTTCAGGAAAGGGAGCCATGGCCCTCAGCAGGGTACCTGTGCCACTCCACTCCAGCCAGGACCATCTCATTGCTGTAGGTCCCTCCCTGGGGGATCAAGGAAGTTCCCAGCATGATGAAATGAGGAACAAGCTCCCAACAGGAAAGTCACAGTGATACTGAACACACAAGCAACCACCATCTGCTGAGGTGGCCAGCAGGACACTGTCAACAGAGGGATGCCACTACAGCTCTCACTTGGTCTGTTCAACATCACATAAGCTGTCTCTTGTCAGGCTGTTGGAAACGACAGAGCAGCTAATTGATCCCTGAAGGAAACACCCAGGAGACAAGGGCCAGCTCACATACAACCCTCTAGCTGCACCTGCACCAAGTGCCATGGAAAAGCACCTACCCCAGTTACTCATGCTCAGGAAGCTCATCCAGCTCAGAAGAGTCCTCAGCCGGGGAGACGCAGTTATTGATCATGCTCTGTTTTACAGGGCTTCCTCCCTTCATACCTGACTTAACACTAAAACATTCAAGAACCAAGGGACAAAAGAAGAAAATTCCACAAAGCCCACTTACTGAAAAAAGCTAAGGTCAACGTCTGCTTTGAAGAAAGACTGCTGTGGATGCACTGTTAGAAAAATGGACCAGAACAGGTCATCACACCCTATGCTAAGCTGGGCAAACAAGGGTCTGCCTGCCCGGGGGTTCAACACCCAAAGACTGCCAGGTGCCCTGTATCTGCAAGGAGACTGCAGCCACAGGCATGCCAAGCACTGGTGAGAAACAGGAGCAGCACACGCTTCACCAATATGACTGAGCAGAAAAACCTCTGAGCGCTTAGCTGGGCTTTCTATTTTAAGAACTGGTATGATTCACGTTACCTTGGCTCTAAGTGTTTTTCAGTCTTCACCATATCTACCCTCATGATAAGCTCATATTAAGCAAGCACTGAAAGCCCTGACATTTCAGAGCTGCAGTGCAGAGCAGCCATACATCATGCTGGAGCCTCCGGCATCAGCAGGCAGCTGCACCCAGGTCTCCCGAGCGCATATTCTGTGACCTTGCCACTCACTGCCCTTCCCACTGATGCACATGGAAACAAACATAAGAAAAATCAGAAAAATCCCTGTGATGCACTAAGTATTGTTCTGCTGTTGCACAGTGATGAAACTGAAGGGAGGGGAAAGATGGGGACAAAAAAACCCCCATAAAAGTGTCATTACTTAATTGAAAATTAAGCAATAACCAATACCAGTTCAAGTGAAGCCCCACTTTGCACCACCTGCCTGGTGCTCCCAGCAGTTGCCCACTTGTATCTTTTTCTGTACTTCAACTGTACTAATGCATGCTTTCATGACAAAATACAGGTGCAGGAACTAGTATTGCAGCTGGGATATTATCAAAGAAGGAAGGATCTAGAAATGTATGCACTATTTGGGATTATGAAAAACAACTTTCCAATTAATAGCATAGGCAAAAGTTCTTATATCCTGCAAAACACTTGCTTAAAAGAATAATTTAACTTTTTGTACTTGCTAATAAATATATTAAAGTAGGTTTCACTGTTCTTGCTTTGTTCTCTTCAAATCTCAAATAAAAGAATCAACGACAGCAGCCTGCATTAAATATTTTATCTGTTTTGACTCATTTTTTCCTTACTTATAATGCTGTGAGGAAGCTGACCAAATTTTGCATCACCAACAAAACCTGAAGGATTGCAAAAGGCAGAAAACATCAATATGCATCTTTATACCCTACTCAAAGAAAGTAAGAACACAAATATTTTCCTGCAGGAAACATTAGGTTGATAATTTCTTTCTTTATCTGACAAGAAATGGCTGTCATTTACAAGCTGAAATAAACAAGCTGGATGCTAAAGTTTTTCTCAAATACAAAAGAGTGCACTGGGGATCACTAGATAGGAACAATTAAAGGGAATGTACTGTCACAGCCAGAACTCTAAATAGTATTTGGAATATTTCAAATCTCTGGTTGAATACTAACACTCTCCTACATTTTCTATCATTTTACACATGCATATATGCAATTGCATTATTATTTTGGTTCTCCACGTCAAAACATCACAGCATGAGAAAACAGTTACTATAAGGTTTCTTAAAACACCTTTTAGTTTAAAAAACCTTTTGAAGAGACAAAAAAAAATCTGTCTTAATAACTAATGATTTAAAATTAACTTTGATGTCTGGTCAATTAAATTAATGCTATGTACTACAATGTAATATACAGCACGTCAAAGGACAGAGAGGGTCTTTTAGTCAAAGAGGTTTAAAATAGATTTATAAAAATCTATCCATTCCAGGTTTCTCTATATCACCAAACTAAGGTGGAGAAAAAAACATTATGAAAGAGATACTGAGGAGAACTGATGTTTGTCCATTTTTATGTACAAAATAGAGGTAAAAAAAGTATTTTACTCTGTCATAACACGAGCTGTAGCAATGACTAAAATAAATTACAGACTTGTCCACTGGGGCTGATGCTACCCTGAAAAGAGGAAAGGATGATTCTATTTGCCCAAGGTTTCAAAAATGTCACATCTTGTTTGGGAAGAGTCAAGAGATGCATCCTGAAAACCAGGTAAGGTTCAATTTCTCATCAAATGGCCAAACTGAAGCCAAAGCACTTTTATATTTTTTAATGAGGGGACACACTGATCAAGACTGACCACTAATAGTCCTCTGAATTCCTCCTTCCTCTTCTGCCCTGTGGAAATAAACAAGATTTAAATGAGTAAGACTAGACCATCACTATTCTACTGTTCCTAGTAGAAAACATGTCCTTCTCAAATTGTGCAGAAGCTGAGCTGCTGCAGGTGGCTTTTTTGGCAAAGGAGAAAAGGTGCCAACCCATAAGGTGGATCACAAAGAACATGGGGACTTGAACAGGTGGACTCAAAATAGAGAAACTCCATCCCCTGAGGATAAGGAACTATCACAGCTGACCTTCCAAAGCTGCCAAGGCATGAGGTAATGAATCTGCCTCCAAAGCAGGTCTCTTGTCTGCACTCCTCTACTGGCAAGAATGGAAATGTTTACAAGCCATGGAAGTAGGAAGGTGTTTCACCACATATTTATTCATATGGTAAGAGCTACAAGATGGTGCAGCTGCTGCAATTGAATCCCATGCTGTCAAGAGCAATACTAAAATCTCTGCTGAGAAACAGGAAAAGAGGTTCCAACCGAAAGTACAACTATGAAGCTGAACAAAACAAACCAAACAGCAGCATCACTCTTAAGACTCCACGATGCAATGCAAAACCAGCAGCTGATATGTTTTGTACCTGCAACTCCACCTGGTCTGGGAGGTTTTCACAGACCTGTAAAGAAGCTGCCTTCTCTGCAGGCTCTTACCTCGCCCAGCTGCAGGACATGGGGCAGACTGCAGCTGTACCAGTTACCAGGGGCTCTGCAAAGGAGAGAAGGCACAATCAAGCCTGCACTTGGACTGGGGCAGGATAAAGCCACCCCAGACTCCGGCCATCCACCTCCCCAGCTCTGCAACACCAAAAGTGACTGGCTGTTCACAAAGAAGCTGTGATCTGGGAGCAGATCACAGATCAGGCATGAGGGAAGCTCAGACATCCCTGCCAGTGAGTCAGGGTGCTGTTGGCCTATCCCAACACCGACTATGGTTTCCAGTTAATACATACACAGTCACACCACAGCACTTATGAGACACTTCTAGGAAGTGTCTAAAGACAAGGAAAACACACACATTAATTGAATGTCTTTTAAAATACCATATTTGGACATTCTCAAATCACCTGTAGCACATTGATGCAAGAGAGGCATCTGTCTGGGAAGGCCCAAGAGCAGCAGCAGCAACAAGCACTGACACAAGCCTGTCTGGTTTCATTTGCTACACCCACTCAGCTACACAGAGAAAGCTTTACGGATGAGCAACATAAGTGGATCACTCATTCAGGCTAAGTGCAAGGCAGTATCTTCTAGCTCCCTCAACACCATTGGAGAAGTATTTGAAGAATGCAAACCCCCAACTACAGCTCTAAGGAAAGTTTGCCATGGCTTTACGGTAAGAGATTAAACAGACTATCTGTGAAAGGAGGATGCAGAAGAGGGGAGATCTGTTTTAAGTGGCAAAGAGAAGCAACAGAATGAAGAGACTAGTCACAGCTTCTCATGGCACAGGAGACAAGGAAAGCAAAAAAGTCACAGAAGAAACTTCAAGGGAAAGTAATTAAATGGAGGGAAAAAGTCATTATGTACAAAATGACTTTGAGAAACTCCATGCTATGGCATATTGCAGAGGTTGAAAAGCAAACAGATTGAAGAAAATTAGGCAAAATGGAGAACAAAGCCTATTAAACACAATGTCATGTCAATCTGCTGGAAATCCCAAAATCAAAATTTTGCAAGAAACAGAGTCAATAGAACTTTACAATGCTTTCTTTCCCTAGCTGTCCACTGCTGACCACTACCAGCGACAGCAACTGGCCTAATTGAGTAAGGTAAATAATCTGAAACCACACACACTCACAGCCCATTAATCCCTCTCTGTGCTATGGATTTCACTGTTTTTTAATTCATCGCTTCCTAACCTGACCTCTGTGGACTACAAATCAGATGGTTGTATATAGGGCCGTGATAAATATTGAAATGAGAATGTTTATCAGATAAGATTTTGATGAGCACAACCAGCAGATTCTGACGCTTGACATACTGTTGTCCTTAAAGTTTGTTGATTGCTGATCATGGAACTATTCTGGTCAAAATTATTGAGTAAAAGATTACATCATTCCCAGTGTACTTGAGTTGCTGATTTTTAGTTTTTCTTTAAGGAGAAATCAAACAGTTGTACAAATACAGCCTACGTCCACCTTAGGGCCCTATCCACTTGGGATTTTCATTTGGGTTCTCTTCTATTCCTCAGAGATTCAATCCCTTTAATAACCAGACTTCCAATTCCATGTCTCAAATTTAAGAATCCACTACTCTTTTATCTTCTTACAGTTTTCCAAATCTGGATAACTAACAGTGTTCTCCTGTGACTCTTACAGGTTTATTATCTCAAACGTTTCCAAGATACACATCTCAAGTTATTCTCTCTCCTCCCTCATAAGGAAATAGCCCAAAACCTCCAGCCAGCACTGTAGTGCTGCATGCTTGAATTTTGCAAGCTAAATGCTTAAAAACTTACTTAAACTACTTAGAAAAATGTAACCATGCTTAAGCTTTTGCCTGTAAAGCCCAAACATGATAGTGATCCATCTCATCTGAGCCATTAATTTTAACGGTGAAATATGTCTGAGGTCATCTTTTCCAACTGCAATGGCAAAGCACAATGCATTGTAACTCTGCTAACAGTACAGAATCAGGTGGGAGGAGAGGCTGACGCTGGTTTTGTGTAGAAAAGAATTGCTAAGCCCTGACCCCTCGAAGACAAAGCAATGGTGCAAGAGTAGTCAAGGCCAAAGCTCTATTTGCAGAAAATCAATGGGTTATGCACAATAGCAGCTGCACTCAGATGTTCACAGCTCAGTTGGAGTCTGTAGATTTGGTCTCTAAATTCAGAGCATTTGACACTGAAAATAAGAAAAAAAACCCCAAAAAACAATCCTCCCCCTTAAAAAAAAAAAAAAGTTAACAGTCAAAACAGAAGCAAAAGCTTTGAACTAAAATTCTTGAAATTGAGATGAGTGAATCCCTTCTCTTTGCCACTCCTTATGATCTTTGGTAGCCAGCCAAATGGCTCAGCTTAGCTTCACTTTCCACATCAGTCCAAAAGTTGAATAAGTAATAAAACTTGCATGAGGAGAGGGCTTTATAATCACATTAGAGACATGCAAGGGAGACCGGTTACCTCGGTTCACCGGACAGCTTGAACAAGGCTTCATAATGAGGGACAGGTGTTGGCACCAATTAGGAACACTCAGCTCACCACTGACATTGGCCCCTCAAAGCATTGACTGCACTTTAATCCTCTAAGCCACATAAAAGAAAAGCAGAGCAGGCAGACAAAAAAAAAAAAATCTAAAAATGCCTCTGCAGAGGACTGAAATATTTTTGCTTACTTAAGGGAATAAAATAAAAGTGTCACAAAGCTGCAGAAAGTTCACTATGAAGTCTCTTGAGAATATCAAGAATCTAAATCTTCTGCACAAGCAGAGTATTTAATTTTAGGAAGGGTATCACCATGTATAGTATGCATGCATCACAACTATCAGAATTTATATCCAGAAAAGAAGCACAGAAGAAAAAGGATTAGAAGCAGCACATGTAAATATTGAGGTAAGATAAAATTATTCCATCTATGCCTACCAACATTTCAAGCATTATGGGATACATAAGAGAGATTTTAACTAACATTATTAAGGAGTCCTGCAGGCTGAAATGTTACTGTTAACAGCTTCTTTTATTACTTCCTCCCCTTTAAAAGACTTTATATTCCTTTAAAATTCAGAAAGCTTTCATTTAAAAGGTGATATCTGAAAGTTGAAGGTATATAGATTCAATTTACACATTGTAAACACCAACACACACATTTATTTATTTATAAGTACCAGTTCCTCCTTCACTTACATGCCAGGTCATGAGGTAGATGTTTTCGCTTCAGCTGATCACATCACAAGCTCCTAAAAAAATGAAAGGAGTGCTTTTAGGTAGAAGGAGTGACATCAGGCATTTCATGTTTGAGCTACAATTTAATTTTTGGCACGTAAGTGAAGGTTGTATTTTATTTTTATTGCAACTTTCCCAAGCAAATGATATGCCCATAATATAAAGCCTGAAGTTCCACAATTCTCATTTGACATGTGGAAAAATGAAATGTATCAGCTATATGTGCACATACTATGATAGAAATGCAGTAAGTACTACAGCTATAAACAAATTCATAAGAATATTCTCAAAGTTGATTTTGCCATCCTCTTAACATGAATGGGAACCAACTTTACCAATACCAACAAAATGAAATTTTAATTAGTATTTTCTCTATCCTGTTTTGGGAATAAAAACACTTCAACAAACACATTCAGATAGATGCATATTTATTCAACAGGTTTAAGGTGTTGATTTCTCCTTATACACTGATGCTTTCTTCATTCAAGAGGGTCTTCTATGAACCACACATACTTAGAAATTCATAGGAGGGCAAACAAAATAAGCATAGAGGGAAAGCTCCATGTGGCTCCTGATTTAATTCCTCACAACATTCCTCCAGACCTCTCCTTGACAATCCTGAATAGCTTAGCTTCCCTGGCAGGGATTCTGCTTACTCGCCCTTTTTAATCTAGTCCTGAGCCTTGAGCAATATTAAATATGGGAATAGAAGGAATTTTTCCCTCCACCAACTGCCCACATTCCCCTCCTGCAGGATCATGCACATGTATGTTTTGTGCCCTATTGTAATGCACATGGCAAAGGCATTAAAGCTGTCACACCCAACAGATGAGTTGCAGCACTCCTCAGAGATGTCAGCAGCCCGACCGGGGCTGTCCCGGCAGGCAGTCCACCCCATGCCCCGGAGCAAAAAGTTAACAAAAACAGGACAGCTACAAGCTGTGGAAGAAAGTATTAGAGAGCAAAAATGCATGTAAAAACCAGGGAAGCGATAACTGCATACCCTGCCAGAAGAAAAAGAATTAAAAGGGGGGATATGACAATGTTTTTCTAACTGAAATAAGGCAGTTTCTGGCCAAAGTGTCAGCACCATACTCCAGCATCTGCGCTCCTCCACCCATCTGGAGTACAAGAAAAAGATACAACCACCCATCCACTGAGGAGTGGCACAGATCCCATTACTTATTACAACTATTGTTGCTCAACTTAGGCTGTGGCATCAAAGGAAAACATTTCCTTACAATCGGGGGGGGGAGGGTGTGAAGAGAAGGGGAACACATAATATATTACAGCTCCTGTATGCTAACCATGCAAAATTTTGAAGTTTTGGCTCTACTAATTCTCTTTGATTTAAAATTTCATTTTTGGGCATTTTTTGTGCTCGTGTGTTTGTTGGGGGTTTTTGGGGGGGTTGAGGGGGATTGGAGCAGAAGTGCTTGGTTGGTTTGGGGATTTGTTTTGGGTTTTTTTTCATCTTCCTAAGTTCTTCTTCCTATCTTCCTGACATTTTCTGGCTATACCCCACATTAAGCAATTAAATTTGAGCAACACAAGAAGATCTGTAGATCAAAGCAGTACTAGAGCCAAGGTTGTTGAAACATGAATCACACTACGTGGGTTGGGTTTTTAACTTGAGATAAGCAGACACACTCTGCCACCGCCACCACCACCACACACATAGCCCGAAGCAATCCACAGGGTCTGCGCAGGAGCCTCCTGACTCCATCCAGAGGGACCCAGCTCAGGGGCAGCAGAAACACCTGGCACACGGGGAGTGGGGGTGACCAGAGGGGCTCGCTTTAACAGCCCCCTGCTGCTCTGCCTGCTACTACCCTGCCTGGTAGCCTCCAGCTAAGAAATGCCAAAAGCCTCACCCACAAAATGAGGGAGGGCGAGTGAAGAAAATAAGTAAATAATTAATAAATGGCTGGCTATGTTTTCCAAACACGACTTCGAATGAATTTTTCTTACGACATATTTCATTATGGGATAATTCTTTAATGTCCCGATTGAACCTAGTTAATACAAGTTTTCCATAGAAACACAGGCAAAGCCCTGGTTGTGGCAGCTCAAATGGCATCATTAAAATGCAACACAGCCTACAACTTTTAAGTGTGAACAAAACCACAGCTTTTGCCTCCCAGCTGAACCACAAAACTAATATATTTTTGAACTCTTCATTAAAAACACATTTATTTGCTCAGTCAAATGCCAAAATGAACTCTGAAATACTGGAAGGTTCAGCTAATTTTTTTTTTTTCTTTCTCTAATGCTTACAGTATACAGTCATAATCTTCACTCCCAACTTTACTTATTTCACAAATCATGAACAAATATACAAAATGAGATGAAAAATACAGTTTCTCCCACAAAATATTATTTTCCCCCTCTTTGTTTTAAGAGCTGTCTTAACATATTGATTGAGAAACACTAAATTAAGTCACCTCAAATTAATGATCAGGGGGATCTTCCCCCTGATCATTAGATTAAAAAAATAGAAGAATAGATTAAATAGATTAAATCAATAGATCAAATAGATTAATAATAGATCAGTAGATTAAAAAAATGGAAGAATACCAACCTCCCCATGAGCAGCAAGTTCAGGAGCAGGGTAAAGAATGCACAGAAGATGCTCACCCTCCCCTCCACACAGACTGCCAATAGACTTAACTCTTACTCTCTAGGTATATTTGAAAAAGTAACGGGCCAGCAAAAGAAACTGTGGCATGAAGAATACAAAAAAAAATTATAGGAACTAAAGGACAGTGTAGACACAGAAAACCAACTTAGAAATGCACAGTAGCATTTCATAAATACTGCCTGGAAACTAAGCGTCACCAGGGAAAAAAGCATCAGCAAGATTTATTTCTTAAAATACAACTTATAACAACAGAAGGCCACTTGGAACACAGATCTATTTTTGTATTATCACTACTGTTATACTATCACTCTCTCTGTAATTTACCACAGTGCTTACCAACAGCCAAGCCACCAAAACAAGAATTGGACTGGTTGAAAATAGAGCTTTGTGCTTTTCTCATCAACAATCCCACACACTGCACTGCCATTTGCAAAAAGAGAGATGGTCACAGAAAACAGATCTGCCGGGGTCCTGAAAAAGGACAGCCAAGTAAGACCAAGAACTCTGTGTAACAGAGGCTCCTCAGCCCCTCCAGGGGAGCCCCTTCCATGCTGTGTGACCCTTAGTGCCAGCAAGTTTATCCCAGCACTTTAAGCATACCTTTCCCCATGCTGCTCAAGCCTTTACCAGATCTCTCCCAGCACTGGACCCTGATGATCTCATCTCTTTCTTCTTGGCACAGTTTTAACACCAGCTTAACTCTCTTGTCAGTCTTTTCTCCAGACTAGAAAGAACCCAGTTCTTTCACCCTCTGCTTATAGGATGTTGTCTACATTTCTGATTCTCCAGGGCTGGTACACAAAACCAGTGCGAAGTTGTGATGTCCTGGACAAAGTCTACCACTTGAATCCTTCCCTACACAGAAAAGGATATTCTCTTTTTACAGAAAAATATCCATTACTGTCACATGATTTGCAGATAATAATCCTACATATAAATGCCAGTGCATTTGCTTTTGCATCACTATTACTGTTGTCTCAAGCCCTGGCTGTGAGCAGTTATTGCTGCTGGGACCCATTGCTCCTAGCCTGCAGGCATGCTGCCAAACCTTTATGCCACAGAGCTGCCCCTCCATGCCCTGCCAGCCCCATCCAACCCCTCCTTCCAGACTCATTCTCCAGTCTGTCAAAGTAACTCTGAGTTCAAAGCATCTTCTCAAGTAGATATGCAGCTCCGCCCAGCTTGATTCAGGTATTGAAAGAACAGAGTCCTCATTCCTTCACCCACATCATTCATTGCAAATATAAATTCACCTGTCTTGTTTGAAACTAATTAGCAATTATCCTCTCAGTTTTCTCAGCAGCTACAAACATTCCTGTGAGCATTTCAGCTAATCCATGCTTCCTTAGCTAGCTTTTGATAATATGGATTGCCTGATAACTTGCATCATCTACTGTGCAATTCCGACCTCACAAATTACTTTCAAAACTGAATTATAAAGCAGGTCTTGTGATGTTTCACATCTCCTTCATAAATAATCCCAGGGATACAACACTGCTTAGGTGGGAAAGGTATTAGAAAATAATTTTATAATTTCCTGGGTTTTTACAGACTGCTTCAGATATCTAGCACATACAGAGAGCTCCCCATGGACTACCAGTAAACATCACATAGACCTCTTATAAAAGGCAGATCAAAAATTTAATACTACCAAGACAGCAAAAGAAATAAAGCCAATAGTTTTTAAGATTATAATTATAGTATGAAACAGGAAGGTAATGGTACTCTTTCCCTTATAGTTCTGAAAAATCATAACAGAACAAGTATCCAAATACCAGAACCGTATCCATCATATTTAACTGAATAGTTATTTCCTGGCAATACTTATCCTACAGGCATTAGCGGTAGAAGAGAAAAAGTCAGTAAGCTTTAAGAAAAGTCCTGTAAAATCCCTGCAAAGTCTTTGTAGCAAACAGTGCTGGGTTTTCGCTTGTAATAAACTGATTTGTTGTTTATTCTTCTTCACAAGCTTCTAAACAGTCCTGACTTCAGTGAGTACTCTGCAGCTTCTTAATTTTTATCTTTCTTCCACATTGGCTTAGCCAACAAAGTAATTCAGCATAAATTCACAATTTCATTGTAAAAATCTAAAGATAGTCCATCTCACCTTAAGATAGATCATTTAGAAAAGCCTGCAATTCTCTAGCACCTTCACTTCTTTCCACTGTCACAGAACTATTTCATGACACCTTTATGCAGCAACAAGCCTATTCTTAATAACAGCCAGTGATTTAGTAATTCCCAGCAATCAATTAAAACTTGCTGGGAAAACAATTTCCCCACTTTCAGACAAACAATGCAGCAGGATGTCTAGAAGGATAGGTTTCACAAGGCAACTAACAAGTAACATCAAGACATTTTATGAAATGCTCTGAAGTCCTGGGCCCCAGGCACTCAGATGGTGACCCAACACAGTAGTTACTTAGTTTGTGTGTAGTGCCAAACATTCTGCAAAACACTCAACATCTTATCGATTACTTGAAAATAATTGTTATACAATGTAAGTAACATATATATGCATAAAACTGAGTCACGCTGAAAAAACTGCCCTTACAGGGAAAAGCTACTAATACCCACATAGACCAACACCTACTTTAAGATGTTTACATTCTTCATATACAGGTAGGAGACTAGAATCAGTCAAACAAAAGCCTGTGTCTGTAAGAGATTAAATGTAATGGGATAAATTTAAGACAAAACCCAAAAAGTTTAGGCTTAGCATTAAGGAAATATCCTGAGAGTCAGAACTACTGACCCATGTCCCCAAGGGGACGATTGGAGGCTGCAGCTCTTGACGTTTAAACCAAGATTGGACAAGAGTCCTGGTTGCTGCACTGCCAACACAACATGCTCGGCAGACCTCAGCTCTTCTCAACCCAGCCAGAGGGCAAGGCAACAATAAATGAGACTTGAGTATAAAGAGCACTGCACAAAGTGGTTTGTTGGGACTGTCTGCACTGGGGACTGCACCTCACCATGCAGACATGATGCTGTGGAGCAGCAAGTACTGTGCATCAGCTACTCCACAGAACACATGTGTATTGCTGCACGCTGGTGAGAGCTAAGCAATCCCAGGTAACTATTCCACCAGTCCATCTCTCTTCCCTATATCAGAGACTGAGATATATAGATATATATATAGGTTAGTGCACAGCAGCTCAGATCCCTGCTCCTCTTTTGCAGGATGAAACGTTAAGGAGACGTGTTACTTCAGCCTGGTGCAGCATGCATCTCTCTCTCTCTAAAGAGTGGGTATTCCCTGCAGCAGGATGCACCTCAACACAGAGCAATGTAGCAGAAAGAGAATACAAATGCATGAGGCAGAAGGTTGCAGTACAAGATCTAAACTGAAATATAAAAATAGGAAACTAGCAGGAGGCTTCCTTATCCACAAAGCTTGGAATGGGGTACAGTCAGAAATAACAAAAGTATTTTGGCACTTCCAACTACTAG